CACCGGGGGGACCGGCGGGGGGGGGGGGGGAGTGAGCAGGTGTGAGATGATGTGGGGGGAGCCATCTTTTAAGCCAGTTTTCTGTGTGTTGGCTCCACAGAGCGGCCTGCCTCCACGTAGGCAGTTGTGAGGCATGGGAGGTTTCCATGGAGCAGCCTGTTTGAGGCAGGCCCAGGCTCCCCTCTGACAGAGGCTGCTCATGGGATGCTGGTGCAGTTTCTGTATGAGGGGAACTCAGGCCCCCCATGGACAAGGGCTTCTGCCATTCCATGCTGCTGCCTCTGTATCAGAGGCAACAGTGCAGAGTGACAGGCAGGGCCAGTCTGCACAGGGAGCAGGTTTTTAAACTGGCTCCCCTCACGGACGAGCTCCCACCTGCCACTTTGCACAGTTGCCTCTGATACAGCAAGGGCTCCCTAGGGGTGGGGCTAGGAGTGAACTGGCTGCCAGCCCCACCCCAGGAACTGTTGAATACTTGTGTAACCACTAAAATTGCTTGCGGTTACACAATTATTCTGTTCCGTTATATCTAACATCCCTGGCTTTATACTGCAGAGCCCTCAGTGTGTGTAACCACTAGACTTTTTAGTGGTTACACAGTTACATTTTTAAATGATTTTTTACATCTCTGTTTTCCAAGGAGATGGGATAATCTGTCACAGGAGGTGTTGGGGAGCTGATGGCAAAGCTGATCCAGGAGGAAATTCACCAGTGGCTTTCTCCACCTGCTTTAAGTATACTTTGTGTCAGCTCCACTATTTCCAGCAATAGCTCTTCCCTGACACTCTCTCCTGTGCTATATCTGCTCTACATTGCTGCTAGGTCCCTAAGGTATCCTAATCTGTCTGGTTTAAGTTAAATGTCAGTTTTCTCCCCTCCCTTGTGCAACTTTTACATGTACCTGGAGAGGCAGCTAAAAATCGGAAAGTTACAGCGCGTCTCCTGACAACCTCTTGTCTCCACTGCACCTGAGCAAACTTGGGTTCATTGGAGAATCAGGCCCTTCATGTCTCACTAAAGACTCAATTCTGCATATTCTTACATTACTATGCATTAGTAATATATGCTCAATACTAAATTTCCTCCTACATAAACAGTGCAGAAGGAATTTGGCAGACTGGAAAATCTGGCCTGATATAGGGAGAGATGACAATGCATGACAGAGGAATGAAGTTCATAGAAAATTGAAGTAATGAAATTATCTGTTCTTGTAATATATGCACTGTGCTATTTCTTCTTTTTCAGGTGATAATTTATATTTTAATATAATTTATTCTTTATTGTTATTATGTTGGAATAGAAGTTTCACTCTGACCACTTTGGAATGTGTTTCTGCACTTCTGAAATCATATTAATGAATTAATTAAAAAGACAAGGCAGCATCAGTACTTGCAGAAAGGAGCTGTGTTTTGTATAATGGCTTCTTTACTATTTTATTAAATGTTACCTCAGAAAACATTATAAAGGTGGCCTCCGTTTAAAAAAAAAAGTTCACGCATTTCTTCCATGAATGCCACTTCCTTCTCCTTCTGGGAGACACACCCATAGTCTCCTATAGACAACCACCTAACCTCAAGATGATTCTTACCAACAACCACAGGACATACCACACTAATACCAACCCTGGTACCTTCCCTTGCAACAAACCCCGTTGCCAGCTTTGTCCACATATTCATTCTGCTGATACCATTATTGGACCTAACCAAGTGAGTTATAAGATCAAGAACACATATCCCTGCGCATCCAGAAATATAATCTACGCTATCATGTGCCGAAAGTGTCCGTCTGCTATGTACATTGGACAAACATCTCAGACACTTCGCCAAAGGATTAATGCCCACAAAACAGATATCAGACAAGATCACAAAGAGAAAACAGTTTCTTGCCACTTTAACCAGAAAGGACACTCTCTAAATGACTTAGCCACCTGCATTCTGCTACAAAGACCTTTTACATCTGCACTTGAAAGGGAATCCTCTGAACTGTCATTCATGTTAAAATTCGACACTTACCAACAAGGACTTAACAAGTCTTTGAACTTTCTCACCCATTACCAAGACAGTTTCCCCAATTATCACCTGTAATACCATTAACTCACAAACATCCCACTCTCCCTACCTTTAATATCAGCAATTCACAGACACTTACCTTCCTTCCTCCCCCTTCCCACCCCCCCGCATCCCCCTTCTGTTCTGCAATGTGATTTGTCCTTTTCATATTTGTTCATTTTTTTAAATTGTATCCTTTGGTATATATGGTTGTGACTACTTTCTTCCACTATTTGATCTGAGGAAGTGGGTCTGGCCCACGAAAGCTCATCATCTAATAAACCATCTTGTTAGTCTTTAAAGTGCTACATTGTCCTGCATTTTGCTTCAACTACCCCAGGCTAACACGGCTACATTTCTATCACCAATCTGGAGGGGAGCTAGAGCGTTAGTGTGGGAACCTTGAGTCTCGAGGGCCACACTCACGTGAGCTGGGGTATTAGGTTCCTCACCCCTGCTTTAAAAACAAAACCTCTTACTCTTAAAAATCGATCCCCGTATCTCTGGTCGGACCACCTTCACGCAGGTCCTCCGGGATGGAAAACTGCAGCAAACTGTATGAACAGAAACAAACAGAAGCCCCAATCGCAGCTGGAGGTGGGGCGAGGCTGCCCCAGCAGGGACACAACGGGGCAGCCGCCCCCCACCAGATCAGGAAAACAACCGCGCCATTCCCCGGCCAGCAGGAAGGCGAGTGCCGCTGCAAGGCTCCGCAAGGGATTTTTTTAATTGTATCTTTTGGTATATATGGTTGTGACTATTTTCTTCCACTATTTGATCTGAGGAAGTGGGTCTGGCCCACGAAAGCTCATCATCTAATAAACCATCTTGTTAGTCTTTAAAGTGCTACATTGTCTTGCATTTTACTACCTTCTGAGTATGCTGAAAAAAAAGCACAAATGGAAAAGATAGGTGTTTTGGATGGCAGATCTTTCTGCGATGGTGTTTCATACTGGCATATGAATGCCAATTAATATCTGCTCCATGGAATAATGTATGTTGAGTCTGCTTGTGTATTTATACAGGTTTCCTTTTTTAATGCCTTTTAGAGAAACAGCTAGTTCTTCTTTGAGTGATGTCCCTGGCGGTGCTCCACTATTGGTGTTAGGTTGTCTCAGTGCCTACGTTTTTCTTAGCAGTAGCCAGTTGGGCTGCACGTTCCCGGTAGGCACCTCGAGGCATTCACGCCCTTGTGCTTGGGGCATGTGGCCCGTCCCCCTCTGTTCCTTCATTACCACCCTTAGTCACAGATGGAGCTCAGCTTCTCTCCTTAGTGTTGCCTAGTCAGAACAGAAATATTGTTGTAGCTAGTTCTTTTTAATATTTTTTTTTCACTCAGTTTTACTGTCCATTCATATGTGTGGTTTTTTGTTTTTGTTTTTTTTTAAAGCAGGGATAAGGGTCAAAGCCGCAATCCTCCCCTTAGACTGTTCTCTCTTAGTTCTTTCTCCCCAATTACTCTGTTTAGATACATTATCCTGTGTTTAAAAAAAAGAAAGAAAGAAAAGGAAGAAGGATGCTTCAGGAGACCACACTACTCTGTCACCATATTGGGTTCCCCCAGCTTTAAGAAGCGCGACACTTGTCGCAATCCAATGCCATCTCTGATGGTCATGTATTGCGTATCTGCTGCCTTGGAGTATTGCACATCCCTCAGCGACGCATCACACCATTGTAGCCTCACCACCAGAGTGTGGAGGGACAGGGGGTTGTGCCTTTGAATGCTCCTCTTTAACAAGGCATTGCTGCCCTCGGAGTCCTGAAACTCCTCAGTATAGTCAGAGTCTTTAAGGATCAGAAACGACATGCTAGCTCCCCAGTGGCAAAATCAGCTTCCAAAAAGGTTTCTCCCAGCTTGGTCCCTTCCAGCCATAACATCAGCTCAAACCAGCACAGGGGACAAACTGGGAACTTCTAGCACCGGGCACATCCATTCTGCTTCTGGCATGGAGTTCAAACCCCATCATT